AAAATATGGCATGAAAAATGGTATTTATCTGAAATCCCAATTGAGAGGATTTACCCAATAGCCTTGGAATGACCCTAATGGGTTGAAATTAGCTCTTTGTGGAAGCTTCAAGGCCATGACTTGAGCAGATCATCCATGGGGATCAAGAGAACTCTTCAAACCAACCAATACACTGTGGTTTGAGTTGTTTTGGAACAACTACAATCCTCACTAAGAGGCGGATGTCCTATCTCTTGATCACCCCATCTTGTTGAGAAATGGTTGACAGAGAAGGTTATTTATGGGCTGCAGTGGGATGCTGTCCAAAGGTTGATTCTGGCATCAGAAATATGTCCAGTAAGCCTGATTTCCAATCCCTCATCCTCCCCAGATATTGAAATCATGTCTCAATTTCCCTCTTAGCACCATGAAAATTGTCTCAAGCCTGAGGGGAGCAAGATCATGTATGATTGTGTGTGTTACCTCATCCTTACACATGTTAGGGAATTGTCTCAAAGGGACCATAACATTTTCAAGTCACTTCACCTTTGGAAGGAGCATCTCACTTGCAAGGGCTGGCACACCTATGCCCCCTGCCTCATAGACTCCACACATTTCTTGTTTGTTTTCCAATTGCCATGGCAGAGGGATCTGATGAACATATATGGTTGAGTTACTAAACTCATTGATAGCACACACAGCACTGTATCCAATCTCTTTGTCATATGCTGAGTCATCCTAATTAAACAAAGCATTGAGCCTAACCAAAAGATTATGAGACTGGCTGAACCGTCCATTCCAATTAGGATGTTACTGTGTCAAATACCACCCTGTGACACTCTTCCTCTGCAATCAGAAAAAAATCAGCTTCTACAAATTGTCATCTGGGATACTCTTACTAGAAAAGTTACACCTATATGTTGGGCATTCACTGCTTCTGCAGCCATGTAAGTTCTTGGACACTCTATATCTTACAATAAAATTCATACTAACACCCAAGCCAATCCTTATTGAATTAGGGAACCGGTTGAGCTCATTCTGAAATGGTTCTGTGCTTCAACTAGAATGATTGTGCAATTTCCATCCAGGATGCAGTCTCTAATACTTTATGTGTCCTTGGGAGCCAAGAATCTCTTCACTACTGATTCTGGTTTCACTTTGTGAACACATTCAAAGCACAGTAACTCGCCTACCTAGGTAACAGGTCAGGATCTGTCCCTTGGTTCATGTTATGATCTTGCCCTCCAGGACTTGCCAGGGGTTTCCCCAACTGGGGGATTATCTTCAGCCTCCGCACCTTTGTACATTCCCCAGTTAGCAATCTATCATCCTAATCACAACAGTTCAATGGGGATGCTTCTTGGCTCCATTCATAGAGGGACTTGGATGAGGGGTGAAATGATCTAAGTTTTGGGATCTAGTTGGTGGTCTGGTGTTCTTATGTGGTATGAAGGGGCTTGCCATAGATGATGGAAGGGATGGATCTACAGGTGGGGCCAAATTACTTGGGGGTAAATTCAGCTACACTGTGGAAAGAAAAACCTTCTGTAGGTGTACTGAGAGTTCTTATCCGTGAAATCAGGTAATCTAGGGTTTTGTTGTGGATAACTGGAATCACTAGTAATATGAATTTCTCCCACTCTGATAATAAAAACTCCCTTTCACCACTCTTTGCTGTTGCAACCCCAAAAGAGATTCTGAATATTATGCCTTGAATGTTACAAAGGTTTGCTTGACTCTTGAAAAAAACGCCGCTCCTTTTGTGTCTCTGTTGACAGATGATAGGATAATAATAAAATACAAGACTCCTGCCCCCACCCACAACTTCA